CTCGCCAAGGCTGCATTTATTTGATTAAAAACAAAAATGGTAATATTGTAGAACATAATTTAAAAACTTTTCTGTTGTAATATTTTTAAATCTAATTTATTCCTGTGATGTAGTTACATTTTCAGCATCATTACTCCAGTCTTCAGTGTCACATGATCCTTCAGAAATCATTCTAATATGCCGATTTTCTGCTCCAAAAACATTTGATACAATGTTGGAAACAGTTGTACTGATTATTTGTGGAAACTGCTAAATTTTTTCAGAATTGTTTGAGAAAGTAAAAAAAAAAGCAATGATCATTAAATATTTGGCATACTGTTTGCTGAGGTCAACCCTCTTTGTGCAACATTAATGTGTACATCAGTGTACCTGCTGTCCAGTAGCTGCCACTATTGTCCGTACATTAGAAACCAAATCTTACTTGGCTGGAACAAATGATATTTATAGAGAAGTGTATTGTGATTTAAAGACTTTGAGCAGCAAATGGCAATAAGCCATTACATATGAAACAAACTATAATATGGTTTTTAAAATGTTGGAAACGTCTGTACATAACACAATTGATATTAAACTAAAGCACAAATGTGACCCTGGACCACAAAACCAACAGAGTCAATTTTTTAAAATTGAGATTGATACATAATCTGAATAAATAAGCTTTCTATTGATGTATGGTTTGTTAGGATAGGACAATATTTGGGAATCGGGGTGCAAAAAAAAAAAATTCTAAATACAGAGAAAATCGCCTTTAAAGTTGTCCAAATGAAGTTCTTAGCAATGCATATTACTTTTTAGTAGGAAATTTACAAAATATCTTCATGGAACATGATCTCTTTCCAATAAACTTTATTTTACACTTCGATACACAGATGAGAGAGATTGACATAGAAAAGCCAAAGGAGAGGTTTATAGGTTTATGCCTGCTGTTGCTCTGCCATCATCCTCTCCTTCTGTTTCATCAGACACTTCCGTGCGCTGGCGTACGCGCCAAGATCCCCATCTAGAAGAATTAAAGATGTTAACAGCCGGAAAATAACTCATGGACATTTATATAAACACTTTTGATTTCCATGTCAACTTGAAAGCATTTTAGACAACATCTAGTACAACTGACTTGAAGTTGTCCCGTTGTGTTACATATTGAATGGATTTAAAGGGGTCATATGATGTTGCTAAAAAGAACATTATTTTGTGTATTTGGTGTAATGAAATGTGTTTATGCGGTTTAAGGTTCAAAAAACACATTATTTTCCACATACTGTACATTATTGTTTCTCCTCTATGCCCCGCCTTTCGTCGATTTTTACAAAGCTCATCGGTCTGAAAAGCGAGGTGTGCTCTGATTGGCCAGCTATCCAGTGCGTTGTGATT